CAATTAAATACAATTTCACTAAAATCCAAAAATTATCCAATTGCTTTTTACCAAACACTTATTTAAACATATTTGAAGGGTGCTCCAAAGTTGCATGACTGACCAAATCTAATGCTTTTATCTCAAATTTTCCAAGTTAAACTCTCTGATGAGTGAATCTTATTTAGTACAAGAATGATTTTTAGTTTGCATCATCCTACAGAAAACTCTCCAACCAGACACTGACCACCAACAGTTCATTTACGGTGCCCAGTTCCCCGGGCGCCAGTCAGACATAAAGCTGAGGTAAAAATAGTCCTCAGGCTTAAGTTCCCCCCTGAGAGCAACACATCAGTGAAGGTGGACCAGCAGGATATTTTCAAATATGTCCTCTAACTTCACCGGCTGCAAAAACTTCTGCTCATGGCTGCAAAAGTGTGTGAAGATGCTTGTTTCACCACTTGCAAAAAAAAAATCAGAAAATTATCTCATTTTACTAAAAATGCTACCTCCACATTAACTCAAACACATTGTAAGATTTAAAAAAAAAAACTATTTGTAAGAATATAAATTCTTAAGTATAGTGATTTCTAAAACATATTATGTCAGCTCTATAAGTCTAACATGAAACAACTTTTTTTAAATTCTCAATGGATGAATGGTTAAACATTAGTTAAACAGTTGTGCCACCTTGTGGTCACAAATCGGCATTACATTTATCTTACAAATACTTTTTGTTTGTTAAACGCCCCCCAAAAAAATGAGAGACAAGTTTAGATACATTGTTAATATTTGGTAGCATTACATTTAAACTGTATAACTTGTGTCTAAATGTTTTTTCAAGCTTCTCACAGTTTTGTATGTATTTTGTGGAGTGCGTCAGTGCAGCAAAGCAGTCCCACAGTATGATGTGTCCACCCCCGTACATCACAGCTGGGGTGGTATTTTCAGGCTTGAAGCTTCCCTCTCTTTCCTCCAAATGTAGCGTTGCTTATTTCAACCAAACATCTCAGTTTGTTTCATCAAACCACAGCACTTGTCTCCAAAACTTGTTCCTGTGTTGCTTTTAATGGCTTCTTTCTCACTGAGTGTCCTTTCAGCCCATGTGAGTCCAGAACTTGTTTCACTGTGGATGATGTCACTCTGACCAGCTTCAAAAGGGTTTTTAGGTTTGTTTTGGGGTTGAGTCTCACATTTTTTATTAAAAAAACATTCATTTGGACTTGTCTCCTTCCTGAGCCTGATGATGCCCTAAAATGAATCAAACTCGAGGAGACTGATAATTCTCTTTCTGTCATCAAGATTTTTGGAGACTTTGCCACAGAACGTTCAACTTAGTGTGACAAGATGTAAGAAACTACTTTCGTAAATTTTCCAACATTTTTGCAAATTAACTTTTTTCATTGCCACCAATTTTGGACTATTGAAACTGTTTATACATCAAAACAAACACATTTTATTAGCTTAAAAGTCCCAATTTACAAAGTCTTTGTATAAAAGCAAAAAAAAAGTTGAATGTTGGGATATTCCTTCAAAATTTTGGGGTCTGTGTCGTTACATCACTGATATTGAGGAAATCAGTTCAATAGCATCACATACAAGGCATGTGTTTGTAAGAAAAAGCTTTATAGCTTCAAACATTTGCTGTAAGGAAAGGCATTATTGTCAGTGTGGGACAAAAATTCAGCAACAAACAAAAATATAGTGTCATTTTGTAAAAAGTTGATCCAGATAGACAGTACGCTGTTTACACCCAATTAAAGTCCAAAGGCTGCTTCTCGTTAAAACCTATGATTAAGTATTATTTACATCTCCCTTAGGGAGGTGAAGGAGGCGGTACTTAACAGTACTTCATCTAGCTACCTAATGGTCACTAATGTGTGCCACAAGGCTCAGTTTTAGGTCCCATTCTTTTTACAATTTGTATAAATAATGTAGGTCAAAACATTCCTGATGCATCCTTGCATCTCTATGCCGATGACACTGTTGTTTATTGCCGAGCTAACACAGTTGCTAAGATTTTCCAGCTTCTACAGTCTGCATTCGACATTATTCAGAATCATTCCATCTCAAACTGGTGCTAAATGTTGACAAAACCAAAGGGATGTTGTTTTCAAACAGAAAGTCGGTGCCAGCAACTCTTCCTCCTATCTCGTCCATGCATTGTGTTCCTATTGAGTTTGTGGATTCTTACAAATACTTGAGCATCTTGGTCGATGCACATCTCTTTTAAACCAAATATAATAAACTTGATAAAGAAGCTGAAATTAAAACTGGGTTTCTTTTTCAGAACTAGATCTTTACTCTGAACGCCAGAAAATGTCTTGTAACTCTTTTCCTACTGGCCATTGACTATAGTGACATTATTTACATGAATGCCCCTGTCAGCACCTTGCAGATGTTGGATGCTGTCTACCATGGTTCATTAAGATTCAGAACTGGTTGTAACTACTGTACCCATTACTGCACCCTGTTACTCACTGGTCAGTTAGTCATCATTATCTACACTGGTTCATTTTCATTTATAAATCCCTCCTTGGTCTGCCACCTTCTTATATCTCCTCCCACTTGTCACATTGTCAGTGCAGTTACAGCGTGCGCTCTCAGACCATCATTACCTGCAGCGTTTCCTCAGTGCGGACTGAACTTAGCAAAAAGGTCTTTTCTTACTCGGCTCCTGCACCTGGAACATATTGCAACAAGAACTGAAGTTGTCCTCCTTGATTTCTTTAAGGGGTTTCAAACATTTGATAATGTCAAGAGAAAAATAAAAACAAAGATGTTCTTGTTTTTAGTATTTCACCTTGTTTTATGGCACCCCGGTGTATTTTTGTATAACACTACTTTTATTTTAACTGCATTTTTACTGTATTTATTGTTATTATTTATTGTTGTCTGTACTTTATATGTCCAGTCTGTTGTAAATGAGTCCTTGTGGCTCAGTGAGACCAGCCTGTATAAATAAAGGTTGAACAAATGAAAAAAATCTATATGAATTTGTGTGATTGATAATCCAAAAAGATTTACCTTGAATGTACCAACAACAAAAGTTTTCAGAAAGGAAAGAGACAAACTTGTGAGGTGGATTTTACCTGCAGAGTTGTTTGTGCTTCAGTAAAGTCTGACTTTGAGTCTCATTTCTGTAAAAAATAATCCATATCTGACTCTTTCTGGTGAAACAAGTCTTAGCAGCATTCTATTTGACCCGCTGAGCAGAGTCTGACATCTAGTGTCTTTATGAGCAAGAGCACACCAAGACTGCTGTCTACATCAGGGCTTCACAGACTTTTCCATGCCATGCCCCCCCCCCCCCAAACAGCATTAACTTCTGGTTGAGCCCCTCCTCGCAAACACACAAATGCTACAAAATATGTAAAGAAACATCAACTTTTAGAATGTTTTAACTTTTATTCACTATATTCAATTAATTATTACAGATGCTGAGCATAAAAATGTTGTTAACTAATGTTTTAAACCCTGAATTATATTCCCGCTGAAAAAACAACAACTTTTCAAAACAAAAGAAATCGAACCTCTCTGTCAAGCATGTTTGTCTGGAAATGACAGATACAGATTGCCCTAGTGGGCAATTATTTGTTTGTTTGTTTTGTTAATCTTCTCTCCAGCTTTCTGGGGCCCCTATGGCGGCCCCCACTTTGAAAAACATTGGTCTAGAAGCTGAGACAGTACAGTGTATGAAATTATCACTGTTTTAGGTTTATGCCTCATTTGTGTGGCTCCGCATCACTAACATGCAGCCTTCAGTCTGTCTGTTTCTAGATGGTAACAATTACGACTATAAAGTGTAAAATATTAACACTTTTAAAGATTCCTGGGGTGATAGAGCATCCTATAAAACTGGTCTCCAAACTGTAGAAACCCAGTACCATCTGTACAGTATCTGCTTGATTCAGAATAAATCAGCATTGTTTTCTGCAAAAACGTGATGCTTTGGATAAAACACCAAGACACAAACTAAACTGATCCGTATTTATTTCTGCTTTAGAGAGTTAAGTTTACCGCAGTGCAGACTGTGGCGTATGTGTTCATCTGAGATCATTAGTTTGAAATGAATCAAGGTCTACTTTAAACAGCATTATAAGCAGCCGTGTGCACAGAAGCCTGTTAGAACTGAAAGCAATCGTTGTCAGATGTACGTTTTAGTGAACACGCATCATGAGCCACGGGAAGTGTCCAGTGCGCTGCATGCCAAAAGTACTGATGAAGCAGTTGAGGACGGTAGTGAGGAAGACTATGACGGTTGTTACGTTGTTCAGATAGTCCAGACGCTTTTGCAGAGCCGAGTTGTTCAGGTTCCGTCGGCCTGTATCACACACAAACATGTGTAACCTGATAAGTCTGATTTGGGCGGACTGCATTCAGTTTATATTCCCTTTCAATAAAAATAATATTTACTGTATTTTTTGGATTATAAGGAGCACTTAAAATCCTTTAATTTTCTCAAAAATCGACAGTGAGCCTTATAATCCAGTGCGCCTTATGTATGAATTCTGGTTGTGCTTACTGCGTATTCAACAAAACAGAATTATTTTGCCATTTTCACATGCATGAGCACTGTTAATTTAACTTCATGTGCTTCGTAAAAACTCAGTTATCACAACACAGATTTCTGACAAATCCATTTATTCAGCTTTCCAAGGGGGAACGTTTGCACACATCTACCCTGGTTTTTGTCTGACAGTAAACCTCCGACACATTTTTCACGTCAGTTTAACAAAAAGGTTTTTGGACTTATCACCAAACAAGAACAGAGCGCATGTAAAACTTGTATAAAAGTCTAAAACAAAGCAAAACAAACTTACACGAAGATATTTAGTGAAACATTTAAAGTTGGTCTCTTTCTTTACAGTGGATTAAAATGAAATTATGTTAGTTGGGTTAGTTTGAATCACTTTACAAAACTCAAATAATATTGAACATATAATGTTTGAGTGTATGTGGATTGTTTGAAATAGCTTGTCTGACCTTAAGACCTTTTTGCTCAGTGCGTCTCATATATGTGCAGATCAAATGTACAGTAGTAAAGTTTGTGCTGGTTGCTGCGTGCATGAGTGAATGTGCATGTGTTTGTGGTCGTGCATGTGTCAGAAGTGGAGTCGGGCCAGCAGCCAGCGGAAGAAGCCGGTCCGCTTGGAACCAAAGAAGCTGACGAAGAAGTTGACCACTGTGGTGACGAAGATGACGCCTGTGGTGACGTTGTTCAGGTAGTCAAGTCGCCTCTGATTGGACGCCACGTTCAGGTCCCTGCGGGCTACAACACACACGCACACAGACAGATGCACAAACACACGATCAAATATTTCCAACACACACACACGCAGTTGACGCTTCCATTCACAGGTAACACTTACATGCAAATAAATCAAATCAGTCACACACACCCTCCATCCTCTGTACGCTCCATGTCACAGTTATTCTTTTTTTTTAAAGTTAATGTCAAAATATCTGGATGTTAATTTTGCCTTCGGCTGAACAAGTTTAATTGAAGACCCTGCGTAAAATGTTGGAAAGGTTCTGCGTCTGTTTTACAATTTCAAGCTATTAGCTGTTGAACAACGAAACTTAACATGATGAAGTGTAGTGACAATACTTAAATATACTTTGTATCAATAGTTTAAAAAAAAAAACACACACATTTCAACAGTTTTTAATAAGTTCATAAGAGTCAACAGGTTACAGCAAGGATCTGCAACCTTAATAATCAAAATAGCTATTTTTACACCTTTGTTCACGACATTAAATGTGTCCAGAGCTGCAACAACCGGCTGCAACTGTGATTATCAACTGGTGGCCCATGGGCCACTTTAAGTTTGTTGGAGGAGACGTTTGTGGCCAGTTAGGGTGACTATAAAACTAAAAATATTTAATGATTTCTAACATTTATTTATATTTTTACAACTTAGGACAAATGAGAAGACCCCATTCTTGTAAAGAGGGGGCAAAATAGTTTTGTAAATTAAAAAAACAACTATGAACTGTGCAGGCCTATGTGATTTTGTTTAATTGTTGACAATTAATTAAGTATAGAAATAAAGCAAAAAAGTTAAAGTGGGTATTTGCAACAGAAATGACAGGAAAACAGCTAAAACTAGATGTTTTTTTGTTGTTGTTGTTTGCATTACAACCAATAAAATTCAGTTTTATGTCAGTTTTGGTCAAAGTGTGAAAGAGCCGCTGCGGCGGGACCAAAGAGCCGCATGTGGCTCTAGAGCCACAGGTTGCAGACCCCTGGGTTAGAGTCAACAGCATGTTAGCATAGCTAGCATGATGGCGCTAAAACAACACCCAGCTTCTGTTTTTTCCACGTTAAGCTTTAATTTAAATGACTTTAAAATTAATATATCTTAGCATAATTTCAGGACCCAAACCAAAGATGTATAAACTTGAGGAAAATAGCTCAGTGTTTTTGAAATATTCTATATCAGAGCCACAACTTTCAACCAACTCTTCGATGAGCAACTAAATTTAGCATCTTGAATAACGAGCAGACTTTTTTCTTTTTCTTTTTGTTTTGCCAAGAGATGATTATAAACACATTTCAAAATTGTTCATCCCTTCTGCTGTCCTTGGATCAAAATGACCCCTGAGGCCTCAAACGGAGACTTCAGGGGTCATTTGTAGCTATCTAGCATAGTTAGCATGGTGGCTAGCTACGGTATTTACTGCCAATACAAAGTCATGCACGCTGCACGAAGAAAAGAAAAAAAAAACTGTTAAAATAAGCTCAGCTATGTTCATCATGTTTATAAAAACAATGATTTTCTGTATTTAGGTTAAGTTAGGCTAAATTAACCATTTTAAGCACCTAAATTTTATGCCTTGCTTGAGCCAGCATCCTAAATTAACATCTTCATCTATTTGTATCTATAAGGGAGGTGTGTCATTTACAGAATTGCTTCTTAATGATTGGCTCATACATGTATAAAGAAAAGGAGAATAATCTGAGTCCCAGATATTTCTCTGCTTCATCACCCCTGATGCAAACTGATTACCAGTTCTGCACTACTTGAGGCCTTGCAGATGAATGGATAAGTACGGACTGTCTGAGTGTTTCTCATAAAACGAAGCGCTGGAACAGCCACCGCAGAAGGCAGCTGCGCTGTGTGCCATAAGCCGCTTTGATGATGTTTACAACTAGAGTGAGGAAGATGATGCCAGTGACCAGATTATTCAGGAAGTTTAAACATCGGCGACACGAGGGGAGGAGGGTTAGCTCAAAACGAGCTGTGCACACACACGCACACACACATATGACCAGAACACAAGCACACAGACGACAAAGCAGAGACAAACAACTTGTTGGTGTTTTGGCTCAGCCCATCAGAGTTTAAATGGAGTGAGTTAGAAACAATAAGTGATGTCATTTGAGTTTTATTGTGCGTTCACAGTCGAGTTGCAAGTTTTAGAATTTACATATTAGAAAAAAAAAAATTAGAAAATCAGAAGTGCATCCTGGCAAAGAGGCCGGTGCGTTCCATCCCGAGAACAGAGATGAAGACGTTGGTGACGAAGATGAAGAAGATAACGACAGTTGTGATATTGTTCAAGCTGTCCAGGCGCTTCTGGTTGGCCTCTTGTGTGATGTCTCTCCGGGCTGCAGCACACATGCACGAAAACAAGGACAAAGTACACAAAAACGTGCAGAGAAATACTTTTTCACTTCTATTATAATTCTGTTTAAACACTTGTCTTTCAACCTGCACCAGCCATTTTGTTTCCAAACCATCAAGGGTTAGTGAGTTAGTGCGTTAATGTGATGTGTTAAAAATGATGGATTTCTGAAAATAATGTATTATTTTTGTAATTCATGCTCACCAATTATGATAATCAGGACGCCGGCTACTATCTGAAGAACCAGGGAGAAGGAAATGAGCGTCAGCACAGCAGCGTAGTACCTGATAAACAAGATGAAAACATTAATGTAAGTATTTTACCCAGTAAGAGCTTATTTATGAGAACAATAATAATCTTACAAAGACCAAGCAAGGCCCGGAACATTAATTTTGCCATTCATTATTATGTTTTGTTAAATTACAAGTCATTTCTCTTTAATATAAACAATTTAAAAAGTGTTGTTTTACCTGTACCCAGCTCCCTGTTCGATGACGGTCTTCATGTGTGTGATGTTCGCCAGGAACAGGGCGATGTCCAGCATGCCTTCAGCTGCTGTCTTCTTGGTGGCGTACAGGTTCATGTTCAAGTTAGAGGCCGAAGCCCCCTGAAACGCAACGACAAATACCAGTTTAGGTGATCTAGCCAACATTTTGCATTCATGCATCTTTATCCTACTGAAAACCAGATCAAACTAAAATGTCCAGTTTACAAGAGCAGATGAATCGCCTCATTGTGATGATTTTTTAAGTCTCTTCTAAACAATCAACAAAAGAGAAAACCAATCAAAGAAAACATAAGCTAGACAATTAAAAACTGAGCAGAACAATATAAAAATAGAGAAATTGCATTTCCTGCGAAAATGCAGTGAGAATGCTTATTGCTGAAGAACTTGTTGAAAAAAACAGCTGAAATTAGCTTAAAAAACATGCTGGAATGTTGCTGAAATGGAAAAACAAGCTGAAATTAGCAGAAAAAAGTACAAAGCACACATCTTGGCTGAATTGTGTTTAAATATGCAGAAAAGAGCACAAATTTTAGGAAATTAGCTAAAAAATAATAATAAAATAAGCTGAAATTAACAACAACCAAAAAAAAAAAAACATCTGAAAAGTAGCTAAAAGCAGAAAGAAGCTTAAATTACCAGAAGGAAGTGGATAGAGCACAAATGTGCCCAATTAGGTTGAAAGAAGCAATGACCACAAAAAAGTGGAAGATATCCGGGGAAAAGGGCAGGAAAAAAAAAGCTGAATAGTAGCTAAAAAGGCAGAAAAAGGCTTAAATTACCAGCAGCAAGTGGAGAGAGCACATTTTTGCTGAATTAGGCTGAAAAAAGTTTAAATATTTGCAAAAATTGTGCAATTAGCTAAAAAAGCTAAAAAATAGCTTAAAAGTAGATAAATAGAAGCTGAAATAGCAGAAATAGCTAAAACTTGCAAAAAAAATAAGCTGAAAGGAGCATTACAAGCTGAAATGATCAGAAAGAAGTTAGAAGAAGCACATTAGCAGAGTAAAGCTGAAAGGAGCACAAAACAGCTGAAATCAGCTGAAAGTAGCTAAATTATTTTATTTATTTTTTAATAGCACAAGCTTAACCAGAACAAAATGTGAAAGAAGTAGTAAAAGGTTGTAAACATCTAAAGATGTGAAGGATGTAAAATGAGCTCAATTCATTTTTTACGAGAAAAAAATGGCAGAAAAGGCTAAATTTTTCAAAAAGCTAAAGTTGCACCAATACTCAAACACCTTCTCCTGAAAGAGCTGAACATTTTGGATAAATGATTTGTTGAAACAGCACAAAAACTCTGGAACGAAATAGATGCCGAAAAACATACAGGAGTATATTAACTACAAGAAAAATATCAACAGGATCACAATAGTGTGAATGCTTCATAATCATTCAAAACTGACCTCTGATAGATAAACTGTTTTTAGAAATTAAACCAACCAACAGAGAGCAGCAAAGACCAAGAAATCAACAGGACAGTGTGGAGATAAATATAAACAGAAGTACACATTTATTATTTCTCTGTTTATCTAATCTGATGATGGATTTATAACTCAATATAATGCTTCTGTTTGACATGTCCTCTTATTTTCCTAATGATATTAGGAAAATCTCTTTGTATCCCTGACAGATTTAGTCCACGTCAGCTAAAATGTTTTTATGACAAATGCATCATGTGCTTATGTGCATGTGCTGTGATAACGCAGGTATAATTGATAGAGATGCAACAAATAAGCAGAACTGATTCCTTTTATTTGAATTTTGTGCCTGTTTCATTCATATGCCTCTATAGAACAAACACATTGTTACATAAGGTTTTAGTCCGTGACTCAGAGCAGATGTTGGGACTACAGTTCTTCAGTGATTCTTCTCACAGACATGGACTGCAGAGTCACATAATGGCTTATTTAAGACGAAGCTGCAGATTGAAGCCCACAAATGGGTTCTTTCACCTCAGGCCATTTCACTGCTCCACGAATCAGTCTGTTTTTCTTTAAGCTGCTAAACCGGAGATCAGCCGAAGGACGGCAAAGATCACAGTCAATCAGGACACGTTGTACTTTATGATCTCACTGTGATGCACTCTGCGGCGCCAAAGTCAACGGACGAGTTGTGCATCTATTGTAATCGTTCAACACAGGTTCATCCCCCACAACGTTTGCGTCTTGCACATCCAGAATTAAATGAAACAAAACAACTGGAAAACACAAGCAGGGCCTAAATGAAGTTATGTATCCCACTTTCTGGTTTTGGTGAGTAATTATGTGATTTCAGCTGCCACAAACCGATGCATTTTCAGGAAGCCATAACTTTTGTTTTCACTGGGGTAAACCTCTGTTGTATATTTATGTCATAAAACCACATGTTATTTATCCGCTCAGTATAGGACGCCTTATTATGTAAGATTATATTATTGCCATTTCATTCTAAAAGTAGACAGATACTGTTGTATTGTATTGAACTTTTTTTTTTAAGTTACTATCAAATATCTGTGGGGGTTTATGTGTTTTAAGGATTTATGGTAAAAGAGGAAGTTGAGGAGACTCATATCCTTTTAAAAGGTTGATGCTAAATCAGGAGTTGGCAACATGTTTTTTTTTCCCAGAGGGACAAATCAAGATATTGAAAACAATCAAGGGGCCTCATAGAGAATTAGAAAATATATATTTTTTAAAACATATCTAAGGAGACTTTTTATCAGGCTTTTCCTTGTTGTAGCACAGTTAGCATGCTTGGTAAAAATGTGTATCCCCCAGTAATCTTTAGGACTCTGCAAACTTTATCTTGTCAAAATATCCTTGCTAGCTTAAATATGCAAAAATAAAAATGCAAATTAAAACATTTAAAAATAAGTTCATTTGATGTATTTGTCCAAGATGCTTAATTTAGATATCCTTGAATTTCATTGATAAAATGTAGGTTTTCATCAACTTGTTTAAAAGTTGTTTTCTTTTCCATTAAGGATGTTGGGGGCCGGATAGAAATTGTTTTTTTGGGCCACTTTTGGCCCTCGGACCATATATTGCCCATGACTGTGCTAGATGCTATCAACCATGCAGAAGGGCTCTTTAAGCATTTTCAGCATTTT